TTACTCGTGCTCATGGAAGCAGGTTAATTGAAATGGGTTTGTGATTAAAATATAATATTAATTGATTAATTGCTATTTGTTAATGTTTCGAATATCGATGTCGATGATGTAGGCACAAATGTGTATACTTTTTATACTTTTTATTTGTAAATAAGAACTCCTTTAATAGCCATTTACGTATATATATATTTATATATTATTAATTATTATTTATATTTTATTAATTATATATATTTATTACGTATATATATGTATATATTATTAATTAGTAATTTGGTAGTTTGAACCTGAAAAGTTTTCCAGGAGTTTTGAAAGTTGGTTATTTTATAGATGTAGACGGGTTCTTTCCGGATTCTGATAAGCAAACGCACCACCTACTCTATCTAACATGGTGGTGTGGAAATGAGTTTTTTAGCTAAAACGCGTGTTAAGTCGACTTTGCAGCGCTCGTACGCTATAACTTATATTTAAAATAATATTTAAAAACTAATTTCTATAAACTTATGACAAGTATTAAAGTATTTTTTTAATAATTTATAAATGTAGGTCTTAAATATTAATGCAGCAAAACTAACAAAATGTATGTAAATATATAAAAAAAAATTCCTTTACAATGTAAGTTCTGTTAATTTAATCTTAATATTTAGTATTATGGAATTTAGATTTAAATATAGCTACATTTTCCCAGCCTTTTCAGTTCACTCACGTACTATCCAAGATACTACGGTGCAGTGCCTTGAGGCTTATTTAATTTAAAACTAGTTAAATCACGTTTATAGAAATATAAGAAGGTTTAAATCATCATGTCTCTGTACTTATTAAGTAAAGTTACTTAGTAATATTTAATTTTATTTTGTACGTTCTATGCAGTCTTTATAAATACTATGTAATATTATAAATGTGAAAGTTTGTGAGGATGGATGGATGTTTGTTACTCTTTCACGCCAGAACGGCTGAACGGATCTGGATGCAATTTGGCACAGAAATAGATTATAGTCTGGAATAGCACACAGATAACGTTTTATACCGGAAAAATGTACGGTACCCGTGGGATAGATTTGTTTTTGTCTAGGGACGAATCTAAAGCGATGCGATGCGATGATCTTTGACTACGTGAAAAATGTGCGATTAAACAATAAGAGTGGTTTTTAAAAGGATAGTTTTTTGCCTTAATTTCAATATTTTAAATGAGAGAATCATTTTTTTAAGATAATTCAGTAGAAATACGAAAAAAAGTTCTACTGTCCAAAACTAAAAAAACTGTAAATAAAAATTTTTTTACAAAAGAAACCCGATTGCGTAAAAACATGTTGATGAAGGAACATCGTATCATGCAGTCGGACATACATACACGTAGTCTAACTACGTAACTCAGATACTTGTATCTATAAAACATGTGTGAAATTGAAAACAGTTTATCATAAAGAGTCGTTAAAGCTAAACCCCAGTGCAACAGCGGCTTGGTCTACGTTATTAGCGCTCTACACGACCGCGACCGATGCGGCTTTCTGGTACCGTCGCCTCATTACATTTACAAGTAGTTTACATAATATGTACACAAATACATCAATATATTCATATATTGCTCATCGAGACAGATTATTTATAAATACGTTTTAACGTTTAGTATAGATTTCTCAGAGATAAGATATTTTTCCGCTATAAAACGTATCCGTATATAGGTATGTTGAGCCCGATAACCAGCTATCGTCATACCAAAGTTCATCAAAATCTGTCCAGTGGTTTTTTCGTGATGTGTGTCCCAGATAGACAGTCATACAGCCAGACACAAAAAATAACTGAAAACTATAGGCCTCTGTATCGAAAATATCCAAAAAATATTTAATGTTCAGATTCCACTCAGAATTTTATTATATGTATAGTTATAGACAGACATCTATATTTTTGTTTCTTAACCCGCTTATAATAATTCCACTTGTAACAAATTTTTTTTTCAAAATAATAAAACCTCTGTCAAATTTATGTTATTTAAAAAAGGAACCGCTTTTTTGACATAAGTCACTTCTGCTTAAATATTTTACCTGTCAGTAAAGATTCTGTTAATATCAGTAAAACTGTCTATCTTGTAGAAATCCTTTTCGATTTCTGGATTATTCCAACTACTCTTAGTTTTCAGCCAGTAAAATACTAAATTAAATTGATAAATCAATTCACACCTCGCGTGGGTATAAATATTTTCAAACCGGCGGGTGCAAAAATATGGGTGGGTAAAAACTTTAACGTCTGTCTCTGTGTCCGGCTGTTTCTGGCATCGTAGATTCCTTCATGTATATGGGATGGACTGATATAGAGATCATTTTTTATATATAAAACTAGTTTAATTAAGATGGTTCTTATTTATGATTTTAATGAAAATAAAGCTGTTCAAAAACAACGATATCATGTGAGTGAATGTGAGGAATTTTATTGAGTAGATAATTAATATTGGAATATCTTCTATTTACGTATTTATCCACACGAGCTTAGGAACGTATTTGTGAAGTCAACGACTTTTCAAATAACATGTAACACCTTGGCTTCATGGATTAGGAGAGTACAGTACATTTTCCAACTCTTTGAAAAAAATTCAATTGGTCTCATCGTGTTTAGGTTTATTCATCATCAGGTTGATACCTTATGGTCAATTTAAAAATTTTATTGTAATTTTATATGAAAAAAATATATATATAAAATAATCTCTTTTAACCGATAAAAAAATGTGGTAGTTTGAAAGCTAAATTTTATTATTGTTTTAAGTGTCATGTAAATAATCAAATAAGCGTAAAATGAAGTAGCCATTAATGTTTTACAGAATTTATTGTTTTATATAAGATATAGATTAAAAATATTTTCTTAGTAGGTTTTTAAACGCGTCGACCGTGACCGCAGTGGCTTAGGCGGGCGTCGCTAATGACGATACGAGATTAAGCCACCGCTGCATGTAATTGTACTATGGAAACCACTTTAAAAGCTAGGGGATTTAAGTACGTCCTACTTTATTAGACGGAAAGTCACTTATAAATAATCTCAATTATATATTTTATGAAGAAGAGAATCTAGCAAATTTTTGAAAGACATGTGAAGTCCGCCCGCCCTTGGCTAGAGCGGTGGATTGTGGCCTGATCCTCCTCGTATTGAAGGTAGGTCCGTGCCCAAGAGTGAGACGTTAAAAAGGGCTGAATACCTATATGCCTACGTATGTACATATGTATTATCATAATTTGTTCTTTCTTGTAGAGAGGTATAGTCTACATCATGTGAATTAGTGGTGAAAACGTATAAATAAAATTTAGTATAGAACAGTAAAATATATTTGTACTCATATATCTACATTTAATACCTTTAAACGAGCAATTCTTGTATATTTATTTACTTATTTATACATATATATACCGGCGATCTCGGAAACGGCTTTAACGATTTCGCTGAGGTGTGGAGGTTTTCGAGGACGAAATATCGATCTAGATTAGTCTTATATCTGGGAAAATGCGTGTTTTCGAGTTTTCTTTCGCATTATTCCATGCAAAATATGGTCGCTAATTTCGCACGCTCGGGCATAAGCAACGTGTTCAAGCAGCCAAGGCGCAAGATTGAAGTTTTTACTTTTTTTTATATTTATTCAAGTCTTTAGTTGTTTTTTTTGCTTTTTAACAAAATTAAAAAGAAAATTGTTTTGTTGGCCAAAAACTCCAAGCGAAGCTCGGTCGCCCAGTTACTTAACATAATAAAGCCAAAGTTTTTTTTCTTTTTGTTTGAAAGTTTTTGGTAATATCATATCTTCCATAAAAAACAACGCGAGCGAAGCCACAGGCGAAGTATAAATCGTGATAACATAATTTAAGAAATAACGAAACAAAGTATTATTTCCCCTTTTTACTTCAAGAGATAATGAAATACATAAATAAATATGCAAATAAGCGATTCTAGAGAGCGCCATGACTTATTCATGATCGTCCTTTGTGGGGACGTTCTTTGAAGGTTTCTTTCTACGAATTATAAAGACTAAAGTTTTAAACCCCTTAATATTTGATTTGAAATAATAATTGTCATTAAATATTATTTTATTAGTTTTTAAAATTATTGAATAAATGCTTAATAATACTTTTTATTGAAAATCCATCTTCAAGTAAGTATTTATTAAAAAAAAATCTACCACAGTGGTAGTAGTTAAAGAAAATGAGAAATGTATATAGTTGGTACAGATAACCTATCCCGAAATAGACAAAGAAATATAATGCCTTTGAAACATCTAAAACCTTAGTCTCTCCCGTGACCATGATTGCTGTAAAGCATTCGAAACATCGGGAACCAAAAATCAAAATAAATTCGCGAAAAAATCCTAAAAAAATTGTTTTATTTAAAATCTCAAATATTCACGTAAATCTAAGAAAGTAAAATTTTTACATCTTATAGATATTACGTTTCTAACTATGTCAGATTCTGCTATTATATGTTTAAAAGAAAACTCAACACATTTTGCATTAGCTTTTAAGCGTTTGTTCGGTCTGATGCACCTTTGTGTGAGCATATCGGAAAATCCTTTAGCATTCATAACAATATTTGCACTTCTTTGAATACGTCACTTCAAACATACGAAGCAACATAAAATACTAAGAAATAATAGGTATTTTATTCAACAAATCCCATGCGCTATTAAACGGTAGAGTATGATGTTTGGTGATTAGTATCGAATTAGAAGAAAAAATAGAAATTGGTATTAATATGACATCTCTCACAACAGATTGGTATATTACTTACTTTGACATTTAAATAAAAATATATTCATTACGTAAGGATTTTGTATTGTCTATCTTAAGCTACCTTCACCTATAGTGTAGTTAGTGTTTTAGTACTGTTGGAATGAGACCATAATCAAGAGTTCTTATATAAATAATATGATGTATTTTATGGCCATTCCAATAACGTAAAACTAGGTAATTTGTACTTAAAATATACAACTCGAAAGCTTCAAAGTATTATAAATGAGGTTTTGCACTTACCATAGTTATTACAAACGAGATGAACTCTCGTGGTGTCGTGTCTGCAATCCCTGAGTTCCCGCAGGAGCCCCCCCTCACTCCTCTGGAAGGCTCGATATGACTGCGCTACGCCATGAACATGTTGAATCTGCGGCGCGGGCATCACGTGACCTCTCCCTGCGCGTGCGCCTGCGCCACCCACTACTGCGCTTCTGTTCACCCACCTAGGTTAATAAGACAGAAATCAGATTATATATACATATAATAAAATTCTAACTGAGCCGAATCTGTAGATTAAATATTTTTTGGAAAATCTTATTGAAATAGACATTATTATCAATACAGAGGCCGAATCTATAGTTTTTAGAATTTTTGTCTGTCTGTCTGTACCGCATCACAGAAAAACCACTGGAGGGATTTTGATGAAATTTGGTATGGTGCTAGTTGGTTATCCGGGTCAACATATAGGATACTTTTTACCGCGGGAAAATGTCTCATTTCTGAGAAAAAATACAAAAACTGCAAGGTAAGATTATACTTATATGTAAAACCTGAGAATTTGGTTTTTGGTCTTCTAAACGCGGGCGGAGCCGTGGGCAATGCTAGTCTATATATATTTTAATATTATAAAGAGAAAAGATTTTTTTGTTTGTTTTTTAGTACTGAATAAGTTCCGAAACGACTGAACCGATTTAGATGATATTTGATAATAAGATAGTTTGAGACCCTGGAAAGGACATAGAATAGTTTTTATCCCGGAAATCATTCCCTAAGGGGCTGAAAATGGAGATGAAAGTTTGTATGGGGAAACAACCTAGGGACGAAACCGAGCAAAAGGAGGGTGAGTCTCTAATACTTTATATTTCAGATGATATTAAGTAAAAATAATTTTATTTTGATGTGATAAATTTGATACTCCACTCTTTGGCCACATATATGTATGAGATAATGTAACGTGAAAATAAACATTTGAATATATCATATATCTTTCTTATTTATTAACCAGTTTCAAACTGTCATCTTATTATACCTTTTATACCTATTTGTATGTTACGTAATATCATCGCCAAAAAATGTAGATATTTTATATGATTCTTTTTTTTTAAATATTTATGTCCTGACATACATAATATGTATGTGTGTATGTATGTTAAGAGGATCAGCCATAGGAATTATAAGAAGAAGTCGATGTAACTTAACAGTTAAAAAGTAATTATGTAAACAAAAATTAAATAGTACTACACCACACAAGTGAAGATGGCTGTTATAGCTCTTAGAGATACAAATACAATATACTTACGAGTATCCAAGCATTGAACAGAGCTTTGCTGCAGTAGAGTCGTCTAAAGTAGTAATGCAAGCTGGGAACCACGATTGATTGGCCGCGCGATACACCTGCAGTTCTCCACGGCCAACGTCACCGTTGGCTTCACTCAGTCGTACTGTCGGAAATACGGAAGTTCAAAAGTTTGGGGGCTTCTAAATATTTTGCCTACTTACTGTATAATTTATTAAAAATGGAATTACTACAACAATCGATTTTAGTATAGAATGGGTTTTTCTGTAAATAAGAGAAAATATATGAAGCAATTTCTCATTCTCAATGTTCATAATGTAAAGATGGTGGATGAAGGCTACTTGGTGTTTGATAAAGTATTACATCTAGAAGAATCTATAACTTACAGCAGTTTCTTTCATCCTGTCCCCACGGACAGTCAATCTTGCCGTCACACAAGTGAGCTTGAGAGATACATCGTTGGTTACCACAATGCACGTCCCCACTTCGTTTGCAAACCCGGCAGTTGAGTTCGTCCGAGCGGTCCGCGCAGTCCACGTGTCCGTCGCATCTCCAGTCGTGTGGTATACAACGGTTCATGTCACATTGGAAGCCCGTTGGACACACTATTAGTAAAAAATGGGAAAATATTTTAACTCCTGACATTAGGGTTCTATTTTGATTTAAGGATGAATTTCTCAAATTATTTGGTACATAACTGCATTGAATTTCACTATCTATCAATCAAGACTTAAAACTGATGAATTTAAGTAAAATTCTGGAGAGAATTTTATAAATGTATGTTCACATTCACACATGGTACATCTATAGTTAGAGGTGGCGGTGTCATATGAATGACCAGATATATAAAAGTCCACAAAACCAATAAGACATAAGACTCGATCCGTATTTCCTTCCGAGGCATGGAAGTAGCATCACTCTAATTTACTTCCCTGAGAATCTATTTATTATCTTCACAATTCCAATCTGTAGAGGTAAGTTACGAGTATATAAGTGAAAAATATATAAGTACTTAAAATACAAATTACCTATATTAACATTTACCGAAAAATTACTAAACAACTTTATAGAGCACGTAAAAAGGTATATAAGCTTAATTTCTAACAAATGGAACTTACTTGGTTTGGCAGCTCTGAAGCGTGCTTCCTTCACTTCACGGTTTCCGAGACAGACATCGGTGTCGGTGGACTCGGGGAAAATTTCACATTGCAAGTAATCCGGCATCGACAGACCGAATACCTCCAAGAAGAAACCGCAGCGTCTCATTGTTTCTATATAAATATATATATTTAGGACTGATATTCGAATCATCAGAAATTTATGTGTTTGGCATGAAACTATTATTTTAATAGCTTTGAACATATACTAAATAGCCTATAATATTAAAAAAAACTCTTAATTTTTTTTTCTTTTTTTATTATTCCACTGAATTTAGCTATAATATAGATTTAATATAGATAATGTAGACGTGTATGCGAATGTGAAAAAAAAACTAAGTAGTTAGTATATTTATAATAATAACAATGTTAAGTCTTATAAATAAAGTAAGAAAATCTGCTACAATCTAGCCCAGTTATTATTATTATGTTTGTGTGGTTAAGTTGATTTTCTCCTCGTGGCAAAAGTTTAAAACCGACTTGAAAAGCTTCGACAATATCTCAAAAGTCAAACGATAAGTATTACAATCTTGAACAGCCATTATAGTTTTCAATGCTATTTTTATTGAAATCTTAAAACAACTCGCATGAAACTTGTTTTTTATTAGTCGTTGTAGCTTTTACGTATAAAAGTGAGTCAGAATAATTAAAGTGCTTATAGGAGTCAACTTAAATCAACTAATAAACAGTTATTTATAAATAAATAAATATTAATATGTTGGGACGTTAACACACAGCACCATCTAGTTCTATAGTGAGCTACGAGGCTTGTGTTATGAATACGAGATAGTTGACACACTACACATATATAACTTTAAATACATACATATTATAAATATAAACACCCATGACTGGACTACAAACATTCTTGCCCATCACACAAATGAATGCTCCCAGCGGGACTCGAACCCGCGACCGTCGGCACAGAAAATAGGCTCACTAGAAACTAAGCCAAACGTGTCGTCAATTTAGTTTATTATTTATTATAATTCTAAATTTCCAACATAAATATTTTTAGAAGTATTTTAATATAATTCTTCAATCTCCTCCTTCAATCCTCTTCAGTTATCGAACAATAAGTAATTATATAAAATTTCTTTTTAAATTCTATTGAAATCAAGGTACAATTTACTTAAAACTTTGTATAATCATACTATAGGGAAGTAGGTAATATATTAAAATTATTAAATACTTACCCTGGCATAGACTTCTGCAGGGTCTCACCATGTGGCCCAGCGGACCACACTTGGGTACAAATAATGAACATAGGAACAAAGCTGTCAACTCGTAGCAGCGAACGTCTACGACAGCATCGTAGATCTCTAAATCCTGTTGACAACATTTTTAAGTTTTACAATGAGAAATTCATCTCTATTATTAATTATATGTAGAATCAGTAGCAGTCATTGGTAATAGGTACGTCTAGTGAAGCGGGTTTGAATACAGATCCCTTGCCTCAATGATTTTCATGTACTTATCATTCGAACCACGATAACTACTAACTTAGCCTTTTCTTCGAATTTAGATTTGAATCGACTGAATCTGTCATTGAATTAAAAAATGATATATACTGAGCTTAAATACGGCTAAAACATATTAATAATAAAAACATAACGCATTATGGCATTTCTTGCTAATTATAACGGGTTGTGATAAAAAATCACGAGTGCAACGATACAACAACATTTTATGGACGACTCTTTCGCATACTGAAAGCTTACCGTCTTTATATTTAACACATATAATAATATTATTAATATTCATTTCTGGCTCTGCAAATTATTTTGCAGAACACAGGCTACTGGTGCCATCGTAACGTGATGTAATATAGCCGTATCTTACACGTAATATATCACAGAACGGGAAATTAATTTACGTAATGAGGCAAGGAACGGATTGTGTTAACGGGATGGTATCCGGTTAACGATTGTTGTTTGCATTTGTTCAATAACAATATATTCAGTGTATATATATTCAGTAAGGTTTTCAGTACAAAATAAATTCATAGTGTTTAGTTTATAATGTTGGTGGTAGACATGACGTTTAGAACGTATTAAAAGTGCTTATGATAGAGCTACCTAGCAATATGGGACGTATAAATATGTATGTGTAATACAAAAGTATTAATTGTAATAAAGTTTGTGTATTATTGTAATTAAGTTTGTGTATTAGCGGACCCAGTAGGCAGCTGAGGTAGTCCTGTCATAAACCTCGTTTGACCGGTAACGGAGTATGGCTAAGAACCATCCAGTTAACCCTGGGTAATTCAAGCTTGGACTTATCAGTACACATAAAATATTATCAAAATTGGTCAAGCTATTTAGGAGAAGAAGTATTACGAACACCGGATTTTTAAATATACAGTAAAGAAATCATGTGCTGTACCGTTATCAAAATTAAATGAAATCGAAAATAAAGTTTGTAACTTAGCATTGAGATAATGTTTAAAAAAGAAATCAAATCCGCATATATTTTAATTAAAAATTTCTATAATATTAAGTTACAATATTTTTCCTTGTAGATGTCGATATTTAATAATATACAGCTTTTTAACATATAAGCTTTCTTAAGCTTTAATTTTTTTTAAAGTTAGTTGTAATTATTTGGTTTTTAAAATAACAGAATTGAGAATACATATATTTTTGTATTTCGGAGAAATTCAGATACCCTATCTCTCTACCTTACAAAACACTGCCGCACTGTACAAAGTCGCCATTTCAACCTGTCTAGTTAGTCGCTTAGTTCTTTCAAACTTTCATTCAGCAATAAATTGAGTTGTACTTTTTCCATCATTTGGAGTAATTCTTTTGGAAGTTTTGTATATTAATGTTGTTTTAACCTACACATATTAGAAATAATAATCAAATTGGAGTCGAATTTGTACCAGAAGGGTTCCGGACCATCGTACATGTACTTTTTATTAATATGACTTTCACTCTATACATATAGTAATTTATTTATTTATTTATTTATTTATTTATTAGGATTACCAACAGAAATGACAACAGTAATACAAAGATAATAATTTACATAATAAATTGATCATAGTATAATTGTATTTCTTTTTAAAGGTAATCACAACATGCATTGATTTTTATAAATAGAGGGATAAAACATTTAAAAATTAAATTGGATTACATAATAATATGAGAAAATTGATATTAATAATTTAAAAGAAATATAATTATTCAACATAATAAATATTTTCATTATTATACATTAAATTTTTGAACACATTTTAGATAACAAATTAATTTAAATGTTTTACTTATAAGTTATATTATAATTTATTTATTTATTATTTTGAAAAAAAAATAACTAATTTTCGTTTGAAAGCGAACAAACTATCGTAAGCAATATCGAGGTCAGAAATCTTTGAGGACAGATCATTATAACTGCGTGCTAGTCTGGCTAAAGGGGAATACTTTCCCAAGTTAGATTTATGTAAGGCTACATTAAATAAGGCTTGCGGTTTTCTAGGCAGTCTTGATGGCACATTAAAATTAAATAATTGGACAATTGCTGGACTATCTATGCTGTTATTAAGTGTTTTGTACAGGAACAACATGTCTGAGATATTTCTACGCGATTGTAGTGATGTGATGTTATATTGTACCAACTGTTTATCGTAGGAATTATTAGTTAGGCTGCTGTTCGAACGGTATGCCAAATGACGTAGCAGTCGCTTTTGTATTCTTTCAATTCTGATACTATGGATTTTGTAGTGAGGATTCCAGATTTGACTACAATATTCTAGTTTGCTACGAACCAGACTACTAAAAAGTTTGATTGTAGTTGATGACTGTCTGAACTCTCTGGAGTTCCTCAATACAAAACCCAGTGACTTCGTAGCTGAGGTAACTATGCTATCGATATGGTCGGTGAATTTTAATTCGCTATCAAGTATAACGCCTAAATCACGTATCGTTCGAACTACAGTCAGTTTTTCGGTTTCAATATAATATTGGCTATGTATGTAGTTTTGTTTCCTAGTGAACCTGATAAGGTGACATTTTTTGGCATTGAGAAACATTTGGTTATTTTTACACCATTGTACAAGGCGATTGAGATCTTTTTGTAATAGTTCACTGTCAGAGTTATTTCTAATAGTTTTAACTATCTTGAGATCGTCAGCAAATAGATAGACCTTCGAATGTTGAAATATGGATACAATGTCGTTTATAAAGATGTTAAAAAACACTGGTCCTAAATTCGAGCCTTGGGGTACGCCGGAATAGGCAATATATGGCTGCGATGAGTATCCATCTATCACCACGGTTGAAGACCTACTTTGAAGGTATGATGCACACCAGTTTAATAGTGTCCCATTTATACCAAGTGATCTCAATTTATTAATAAGTAAAGCGTGATTTACTTTGTCAAAGGCCTTAGAGAAGTCTGTGTATATGGCATCCACTTGTAATTTATTATCAACATTCTCAATTAAATCAGTGACGTATAAGAATAGATTTGTGACAGTAGACCTACCAGACAGAAATCCATGTTGCTGCCAGCATATACGCCGTCCTAGATTTTTGAAAAATGATTCATAGACTAAACTCTCAAAGACCTTTGACATAGTAGATAATATAGAAATAGGTCTGTAATTAATGACACTCATAGGATTTTCACTTTTAAAAATTGGTACAATCCGCGCTTCTTTCCACTTTTCGGGAAAAATGCCACTGTTTAAGGAGGTGTTAAATATAATAGCCAACGGAAGGGATAACAAGTTTGCACACCTATGTAAAAATATAGGAGGAATACCGTCTGGACCAGCACTCTTTGATATATCCAGTCTTTTTAACCTATTTTAATTTTTTGTTCGGGAAAGTGTGTATTGCCTATATAATTTTTGGGTTTAGGTACTAGCTGTATATTAGGATTGTTATTAATATTATCATCTTTAATAAAAACAGATGAGAAGTGACTAGCAAACAAATCACATATTTCTTGCCTACTGTTTGCCTCGCGATCATACAGAGACATTTTATTAGGATAATTAGAACCTTTACGACGCATGTTTTTCATATGTGACCAGAAATATTTCGGATTATTGCTAATGGCTTCCTCGATGTGTAGAATATAATGATAGTAACATTGTTTTATGAGTTTATCGCAATCCTTCCTCAAATAAGATAGTTCAATTTTATCTAGTGGATTATTATAAATTTTAATTTTATTATGACATTTGTGTTTTTGCTTTATAAGTTTAATTAGAGCGGGGGTAAACCAGATAGGATAAGATTTTGACGTTTTGGACGATCTGGGCACGAATTTATCTATTGCTACCTGCAGAATTTCGTAGAATTTAGATATCATATCATTTACATTATTAAGTACACCTAAAGTATGTAGCCAATCAATATCATTTAGGTATGCTATAATGGAATCAAAATCGGCTCTTTTAAAATTATAGAAACATTTATTTTTAGTCGTGTGGAAATTATTTGTTAGATTAATTTTAATGAAAAATTCTAATGGTGGATGTAAAATATCTACTTTGCGTATCGGAAACTGACTTTCAAATACATTGATGTTTATATTAGACAAGACTAGGTCTAAAATTTTTCCGCTTGTATTTTTGTTAGTGTTGTATTGATTCAGATCGTGCAAAGCGAAAAAATCTATTAAGTTACTTTTAAGAAGACAACTATCATAGTTACTTGGGGATGCATGCTTACCACTAATCGCGGGTTGATTTGTCCATGTGATAGAACTCATGTTGAAGTCACCAATCAGTAAAATCGAGTTATTAGCCGTGCCTAGGTTGTTATTATTTATTGTATCAGTGGTATTATTAATGAAGGTTTCCAATGTGTTACAATCAACTGGCGGCGGGATATATACTGCGCACACATGTAAACATTCCGTAACATTACCTGTGATAAGTTCAATTGTAACCCATAAGTCTTCACAAAGACTTTCCCATCTAATTTGTCTACTCGAGTTGATACCGCCCTTTTTTACTGCTATTAAAACTCCACCACCGTCTTTCTTATGATTAGATAGGGAAGATGATTCACGATCGCGTCTATATACGTGGTATCTGTCGTCAAAGATCTCGGCATCATATACACTGTCGTTAAGCCAAGTCTCCGTTAAAACAATTATATCATAGTTTGAATTAAGGACTTCATTATTAACATCTGTTAAGCTAGAGCGAAGACCGCGGACATTTTGATAATAACACTTTAATGAATCGAATTTAACGTGAAATACTATACAACCACATGTTTATAATTTTATAAAATATAATAAACTACGACAAATTTAAAAGAGATTCCGAATTTTTAATAAGTTTATAGTCCGATGATTTGTTTTTCCGC